ACCCGGCTCCCGCCGCAGCTCTTACTTGGGCGCGGACAGTGCTGTGCGCCGCGGCTGCCCCCAGCGCGGCGCTCCTCGGGCTTCTCCATCGCCGCCTCCCCGCCGGGACCGGCTCCCCGGCCCCCTGCCGCTCCTCGGGATTGTTATCCGCAGGAAGGCGAAATCCAGAGGGAATCGTGCCCGCCGGTGCCGAGGCTCCGGCGCGGCGACTCCACGTCCCAGCGCAGCGGCCGCGAGCTGGGCTGGCGGCAGCCCCAGCTGGTGCCCGCGTCCGTGCTCCTGCCCGTCTCTCGCTGTGTGTGAGGATGTGCGGGGCAAGCGCAGCGCAGCGCAGCGCAGCGCAGGCACAGCCTCCTCCCCCTCTGCCTCCGCCTCTTGCTGCTGCCAGCCCGGGGAGGTGGAGCTCCGGCTGCTCATCAGATCCTGCGCGGAGAGCGAGGGACCAGGCGAGATGCGGAGCGCGCCGGCGGATCGCGAGGCTACGCGCCTCCTAAAGCGGCAGTAGGCAGGGAGTCCCCGCCCGGCTCGGCCCCGGCTTCTTACATGCATCGTGCCTGAGGAAGCGCGTCTCAGCAGCCCGCGGGAGTCGGCCCAAACCCTCAGCCCCAGCCAGTTCCCGTCCAGCCATCTCCGTGCCCCTGCGGAGATGCCCAGAAAAGAGCCCTGGGGCGACCCTAAATCCTCCCGGGATCCGAAAACGGTGCCCCCGGGATCCTGGACGGAGACGCAGAGCCCGAAGCCCCAGCTCCGAGCCCGGGGCCGCGGCGCGGCGCCTCGGAGGCCCCGAGCGAGCGCTGCCTGCCCATGGCCGTCTCCTGAGCTCCCGGGCTTGGCCCCCTTCATTCCTCCCTGCAAGGGCAAAAAAGCCACCACTCGTACGGCCCTTGCCTTCCCATTTTATACGGAAGCTCGCCCCCACCATGGATCCCTCGGCAGGCCCTCCCCCTCTAACCGCATGAATTAGGGCTGTTTACTTGCCTGGAAACGTATGGAATTAGTCTCGTATTTTTCTTCCCACAACGGTTTTTAAAGGGAGATTTGCAGTCCCTGAAGCTGATGGCAAAGTTGATTTACAGCGGCTCCCCGCGAAGCCGTGCGAGCAGAGGAGGTGGAGTCCAGCAGCCGCACCCGAGAGTGCTGGGGAGAGCCGCTAGAGGGGCCTGCCGAGAAATGCGGTCTCCGGGCTGAACCCTGCCGCAGCGCAGCTCAGCCCAGCCCCAGCAGCTCCTGCCCCTCGGCAGCGCCTGGCCTGGGCACCGGGAACACTGAAGGAGACCAAGCCGGATGTGGTCTGCAGCAAAGGGGACCTTAGTTTGGCTTCAGTAACCAATGTAAGGCTTGGGGGACTACAGGAGTGGGAGAGGAGGTCTCTTTTGCTAGGTATTGTGGCCATCAGATCACAGTCCAGTCAGGTTTTGAAGTAGCCTCCCCTTCATTCATTTCAGTTCCTGATCCCAATTGTAGCCTCAAAACCAAGCAGTGACCAGAGCTTTTCCATAAATAACTTTCTGGCTTCCTTTGGCCTGATATACACCAAAGCAAAAATCCCTGTGTCCATTGTTACCAGAGTCAGGGAATATGGATTGCTGCCATATAACAAGCAATGGCTTCTGGAAACCCCAAACCCGACCAGATGATTGGGCTAGGAACTGTAAATCATATCCCTTTTATCAGCATCCAAGTGAGTCATGGTTTTACAAAATGGGGTCAGACCCCTCTTGGGTTGAAGACAGCAGCTGCAGGCCCCTGCACTGCCACAGCAACCCATTTCCAAACTTCCACCACCCCTACAGCAGGACTAAGTCAATACATGTTGTCTGTTGTTTGGGATCTGTCTATAGCCTGGTGGGGGGAGTAGTCAGAGCTATTACCCAAAGACAGCATGTTCCCCTACAATAATCATGCACTTCATCCACAGGCAGCTCCAGCGTTAACAGGCCCTTCTGTTCCTTTAATAAGCGTGCAAGCTTTTTGCCAATTGCCTGGGTTTGCAGACTAGATTCTGACTTTTTGCCAAAGGTTTGAACACTCTTAACATTCAGCCAGGCACTTCCAGGCTGAGCTGCAGGGCAACTATCCTAGGCAACGAGTGGCTGTCTACAGAGGTTGTGCGCTCTACGTTGCAAGAGCAAAATACCTAGGATGGGGCTCTGGACACATATGGGGGACTGGTCTCCAGGTGCAGTGGGACAGGGACAGCCAATTCTTCACGCTTCAACCTGATGCAGTCCAGCTCTGGAAGCAGACTCCGTCATGGATTTACAGCTACAGTGACAGACAGCCTTCTCTGCTTTTCTGCAGCATGGAGAGATGGACAGAGAAGTGCTGCTTCATGCTAAGCTAAATGAACCTGTTGCAGCGCACAGTCTACCCCACCCCATACACAGGTTCATCTCTCCTTTGATGTCCTATTGCACCGTCTCAGGTCGTGACCCAAATGAGGGTCACAGAGGTGATACCTGCAGCACTGCACACAAAGGGCAAGCTGCACCATGCGCCAGGAGCTTCCCTGCTCCCAGGCCACCGCTGCCACTGCACTCTGCTCCCAGCAGCGGGTTGTGGTAAAAAAAGGTTGGGAACCACTGCTCTAGAGCAATGGTGGTCAGTGTTCTGGCCCCATAGTCTGGGTGAGTGGTACGGGCCTACTCTGCAGCCTGGATGCATCCATGCTCCAGCCCAACCCAATGCATCAACCTGATTCTGCACAGGGGATCCAGCTGCATGCTACCCCAGCCCTGAATGCCAGATCCAGCCATGGAGTGACCACAAGCCCATCATGCATTGGTAGATTAAGATTCATTGCAGCCTTGGGCAAACAGAAAATCAGAGTCCCCCACAGGGAAGGGCCCTGATCCACAGTGCTGCACCTACACCCAATCCCCAGCTGCGCCCCGGCCAGGGCAGGTGGCTCGCAGCCCCCTGCATATTGCCAGGCTTTTCCTTCCCGCAGGGGCAGAGGATGCAGGTACCTGGCACTAAAGTAAAGGTAGGCTCTGGCAGCCACAAGGGCACGGCTTTCTCTGCCTGCTGCCCAGCAGAGCCCAGGGATGGGCCCTGGCTGAGTCTTCGCAGGAGAAAGTGGCAGCAGTGGGGAGCTGGAGCCAACCTGGGGACATGGGGGAGGGACAGCACCTGCTGGGAATCCCTGCTCCCTGAGCAGCTGCCCAGGCACCTTTAGCAGCAGCCGGCCTGCCCAGGTCAGGAGAGGGACAGGGTGGGGCAGAGGCACCAGAGTAGACTGGAGAGTTCTCCTCATCTGCCTAAGTTCACCTGTTTCCCCAAGGATTAACTCTCTCCTCTTCCTCCTCTGAGCTCACACTATTGCCACCACTCCCACCACACTTCCATGGTGAAAAGAGGCCTTCATACTCCCATACCCTGCTGCACCAACAAGATTCAGAAAAATGCAGGCCAGATTATTCCTCCCAGAGCCTAGCACAGCAGTTGAGATCCCAGCCAAAGCCCATGTTCACACACACACACACACACACACACTCTCTCTCTCTCTCTCTACAGATTTTTCCCAGGGGGCAATAACCCATCCCTGCATCATGGCCCAATGATCTAGCACTCAGAGCCATATTCTCTGTCCTATGGGGCTCCTCATGGGTCTGGAAATTTGGCAGCAAGGAAGCAGCAATTAGTACTGCCAATTAGTACTCCCTGGACACCAGATTTCTGGACCCATGGGGAGCCCCTCAAGCCAGATGACATGGCTCTGCAAGCTGGATTTGGCGTGTGGGCCAGAAGTTGAACACCACTGATCTAGGGGCTGGAGATCAGGTCTTTTTCTGGAACCATCTCTGGCAGTCCTGACTCTTTTAGTTAGGGTGACCACCTTTTCAAAAGGGGAAGGTGGGACATATGCCAGCCTATGCCCCTCCCCCAACCCTTGGAGCAGAGCCAAGCAGACCAGAGAAGGTGGCACCACTGTGGGATTGACGTTCCCCACTCTGCTGCCCTTCCCCAGGGAATCACTGTCCACCACAGTGTCGACGAATCAACCAGCAGGATTGAAGTCTTTAGGTATGTAGGCAGTAAAAGGAAAACAAATGGAAGTGTGGGACCCCTGCTTAACACCTCATGACAGCTGGTAACCGACACTCAGGAAAAAACTGAACTCCTGAGTGACCACTTTGCTTTGGTATTTCCCCGGATCAAGGGGAAAGACAAGTGAGATAAGGCTCAAAGGGGCATGCCAGGAATGACAGCCTCCCCACTGTGGATACTGAGAGGGTGCAATACCAACTAGAAAAACTAGACATTTATAAGTCAGCAGGACCGGGTGGACTCCATCTGAAAGTGTTGAAGGAGCTGGCCGAGGTCATTGCAGAACCCCTGGCAAAGCTCTTTCAGAATCTGTGGCATGTGGGGAAATCCCTGAGGACTGGAAGAGGGTGAACATTGTGCCCAACTTCAAGAAGGGGAAGAGAGAGGACCCAAGCAACTGTAGGCCAGTCAGCCTAACCTCTATCCCAGGAAAAATCCTGGAAAAACTCATTAAAGAATCTATGCGCGATACGCTTGTGGAAGGTAAGATTCTGAACGACAGCCAGCATGACTTTGTCGTGGGTAGGTCTTGTCGTACCAATCTCATCTCCTTCTGTGACCAGGCTTCTTGCCACCTGGACATGGGAGATGAGGTAGGTGTTATATACCTAGACATCCAAAAGGCTTTTGATTTAGTATCTCATGATATCCTTATGGGAAAACTGGAAGATTGTGGGCTCAGCTGCTTGACGGTTCAGTAGGTAGGAAACTGGCTACAGGGTAGGACCCAGAGAGTTCTCATGAATGGACCTGTGTTGTCCTGGCAAGAAGTGGCCAGTGGTGTCTCTCAGGGGTCTGTGCTTGGACTGGTGCTTTGCAACATTTTTATCAATGATTCGGATAAGGGAGTGAAAAGCATGCTGGCCAAGTTCATGGACGACACCAAATTATGAGACAGTGTGGTCACGTCAGAAGACTGGTTGCAGATACAGGCAGATCTGGACAGGCTAGAGAGTTGGGCAGACCGGAACCAAATGAAGTTTAACACTTCCAAGTATAAGGTACTCCATCTGGGAGCAAACAACCCTCAACATACATAGAGGGTCAGTGGTGACAGCTTGGCTTGCACCATGGCCAAAAGGGACCTACAGGTAATGACTGACTATCACATGAATGGGGGGCATCAGTGCGAGGTGGTGGGCAGCAGGGCAAATAACATCCTGGCATGCATAAACGGATGCATCTCATGTAAAACTAAGGAAGTGATACTCCTGCTGTACT